GTTGTCGTTGTCGTTGTCGTTGTCGTTGTCGTTGTCGTTGTCGTTGTCGTTGTCGTGGTGGTGGTGGTGGTGGTGGTGGTTGTGGTTGTGGTTGTTGTTGTTGTTGTTGTGGTTGTGGTTGTGGTTGTTGTTGCTGCATATCTGTCTCCCTGCCATTCTTGTGCTGAGCCGGTATTTGACTCTAGAATTCTTCTCAATATGCCTTACCTGTAGCATACTGTCCTTTGAATCATCCTGAGCCCTCAGCAGATTCACCAGTTTCAACCACGACAGCCTTCCCACATTGGCTCACAGCGATACCCTCCAAAAAAAAAAAACACAGCAGCAACACCTGTCAGCAAAGGACAGCCATCAGGTGCTTGCCTGGTAGACGACTCCAAATGAACCGCTTCCAAGCACCCGCTCGGCGTTGTAGGTGTATGATTTCTTTGTTGCCCTGATGTTCATAGAAACCAAAGCGGCTGCATGTTACAAGTGAATGATGTTGAAACCAGTGTTGGTGCCATTTTTTGCCAAGAAACTCATCCGTGCTCTTGGTCGACTCCACCTTCATGTTCTGAAAGGCATTCTGCACCTCACATGCAAACCAAAATGAGCCTGATGTTTTTCCAAAAGAAGTGCGCAATGGGTTTCAACGTCGATTGAATATATCATAATATATCCATCCGGGTGGCTGCTCGCAAGTCACTCGAATCACCTGACTAGCTCAGATGTCTGAATTGTGGCATAATGCCAACACGTGACAATACAAATACAGTAAAATGTCTGAATTGCCACACAGGTGTGGACAGGTCTATGGCAGGCAATGGCCACTGCGGCACTGTTCTTGAGCAAGGGGCTTTTTTGTGAAGCGGACATGACTGCCAGTAATCAGCAACGACTCCTCAAACACCACCTTGCGCATGTGCCAAAAGCAACAAAGTAAAGACATGCCAAGCACAGAGTGCAGTGCAAAGTGGCTATCACACCTTATACCGCTCTCAGACTCTTTCAAGTATCGCTAGGGCGGCTCACAAGTATTGCTAGAGCCGCTCACACTGCGGAGGCATGAAACACCAGAGACAAAAAATAATGCTCTTTAGTAGCCCACATGTTCATGTAAACGTACATATGGATATATATATATACATACGTATATGCACAAAAAACATGTGCATATATTATATATATATAATCGAACAGTCTAGTCTGTGTATCAGAGGGAACCTCTGCTTCTGGAAATTGCATGATATAAGTATATATAACTATATATAAAAATAATATATATATATGTATATATCAAGCCTTCCGTTCTTATTATCGTGCTAGACACCGCCTGTATATAGACAAGAATGCCTTCGGAGCCTGCAAGAGTGCTTTGCTGCGTGATGAACATGCGCTCTTTATTGAAAGAGACCAATTGCAAAAGTCTCCGCGCAAAGAAATCTGCAAACTTGAAACCATCCATCCTTCATGGAAGACACCTCCATGATTGCCAGAAAACTTTGTGGAACATTGCTTAACCCTACTGGTCATCATTCAAGGTCTTTATCAAACAATTGAGATGGACGCGTCCCTGTCAAAGGGATTGGATCCTACATTGTTGACTTTGAGCAAGTAGAAAGCTCCCAAAAGCAGTTGGTCATTGACTAGCAACACCCTTACCCTGCACTGTTTCAAGAAGTGCAACCTCGAAATGAAGCATTCCAGGATAACTCTCCTTCTTTTCAACAAGCTTCATTCTTGTGCCGGCCGAGGTGGAGCACGCAATGGTCCTTGAACATATATAAACAAAGTGCGAATCGCGCGAAACGCGATTTAATTTACAGTCACCACCAAACACCGGGTTATGATGTGCAATGTCATTTACTCAACCACCAAGGTAGCTAGCCAGGCCAAGTGAGGCATTCTTTAGGCAAAACAATACCAGTAACAGTGGGTGATGATGGTTAGTTAAAGGCCTTGTTCAACAATGTGAGAATTGTTTGCTGACTGTTACAGGTAGTAATAGGACACCCCCCAATATATATATATATATATACAGTATATTATTTATCATATGTATGTGTGTGTGGTTGTTCCTTTGAATTGTATCCGCAAAGCAGTAGACATCTGGGTCCGGGGGGCACCATTCAGGACCATAATGGATGTGCTCCGGCACGCCACTCTGAAGAAGACGAAAGTGAGCAAACTGTTTGCATCCAGTGGTAAATATATTGATGTTGCGCCCGATCTCCTTCTGTTTCTTATATAGATGGAGGCTTCCTATGGCCAGCATGCCCTTTGCTGGTAAATGACGACTGAAGAAAATAGGGAAAGGTCCACCTAGTATAGATGTGTTGCATTGCGCAGTTGCCTTGAGCTCGGACTTTGCTCGAACGGGTGCTGGGTGGTGCTACAGTTGTGATACAAGTTTTGCACTGGCTATGCAATTCCTGTTGATAGGACCCGTTGCGTTCCAAGTGTTGTCAACAGCTTGTGAAGCAACCGTGCCTTCCATTCTTGACTCTGCACTGTGACTTCAACAACGTTGTTCATTCAGGGATTGTCAATTAATAATTCAAGAGGTGCTGTGTTCGTGGCTGGGAGCGCTATGTTTATGTTCGGCACGCCAGCCATAGATACAAGGAGCCAAGTTTTTAAAGCAAAAAACAGCCAAAGTAAAGCAAACAATTACTTTGCTTCGAGTGATCCCCACCATGACATCTCAATCACGTGTTTACACGCCATGCTGAGGAGCATGTTGCCGCGGTCGTGAGTTTTGTGGTTCTCGATTTTGCATGGGTCCTCCGGTTGTGCGTTGTGGCTGTGTGCTGTGGTTGCGTGTTGTGGTTGTGTGTTGTGGTTGTGTGTGTTGTAGTTGTGTGCTGTGGTTCTGTGCTGTGGTTGTGTCTTGTGGTCGTGTGCGGTTGTGTGCTGTGGTCGTTGTGACTGTGTGTTTGTGATTGTGTTTGTCGTTGTGTTTGTTGTTGTGTGTTTGCGATTGCGTCTTTGCCCTGCGGTTGTGTTTGTGGCTGTGGTTGTGTTCGTGGTTGTGTGTCTGTGATTGTGTTTGTGGTTGGGTGTTTGTGGTTGTGTTTGTGGCTGTGTGTTTGTGATTGTGTGTTTGTGGTTGTGTGTTTGTGGTTGTGTTTGTGATTGTGTTCGTGGTTTTTTTCCTGGTTGAGTTTGTGATTGTGTTTGTGGTTGTGTGTTTGTGACTGCGTTTGTGGTTGTGTGTTTGTGATTGTGTTTGGTTCTGTTTGTTGTGTGTTTGCGATTGTGTGTTTGTGGTTGGGTGCTTGTGATTGCGTGTTTGTGATTGTGTTTGCGGTTGGGTGTTTGCGGTTGTGTTTGTGGTTGTGTGTTTGTGATTGCGTGTTTGTGATTGTGTGTTTGTGGTTGTGTGTTTGTGGTTGTGTTTGTGGCTGCGTGTTTGTGGCTGCGTGTTTGTGGTTGCGTTTGTGATTGTTTTTTGTGGTTGTGCTTGTGGCTGTGTGTTTGTGATTGTGTTTGTGGTTGTGTGTTTGTGGTTGAATGTTTGTGATTGTGTTTGTGGTATGATTGTGTTTGTGATTGCGGTTGTGTGCTGTGGTTGAGGTCCGGCAGGGAACACTTGCGCCTGGAGCTCGCGGTTGAGGTCCGGCAGGGAACACTGGGCGCGGATGGTCGCGGTTGAGGTCCGGCAGGGAACACTGGGCGCGGATGGTTGTGGTTGAGGTCTGATGAGGAGGAGGCGGAGGAGGCGGAGGAGGCGGAGGAGGAGATGCAGCTGACGTAAAATCTAACAACCCTCACGACAGGTGGGGAAAAAAGCAAAAAATGTAGCTGTGCGTGTTTGTCGCGTTTAAATTTTTTTGTTCGCATTATTGTCACATGTTTTTCGCTTTATTTGCGCCTGTGTTTCGCATGTTTTTCCTAGGTGCAGGAGTGGTACCAGGAAAAAAACAAAACAATGCAAATTGCGCTGCTTTTGCATTTTCATTTGCTTTGTTTTCGCCATGTTTCTCACAAAAAAATATTTGATGGTTGGTCATGTATGGCTGCCATCGCTGAACATAACGCTTTGTAGATTGAAGTAGCTATCTTTTGGTCGCATGTAGGGTGTTGACAGGAACTTTTGATATATACTTTTTTGTTTGTCCGCAGAGCTGGTGACGACGCAGGGCATCAATACTTAAGGAAAAACTCGAATGATTTGGACGGTACTCGCATGTTTCTTTATGTTCAACTTTGTTTGCCTGATCTTGTCGGCATGGATTGGACCAATTGGGAAGGTGGAACTGAGGTAGGCTGTGGGTCTTGATTCAGCTCCATGTGAGACAAGTAGAGCATTTGGTGGCCAAAAGGCATGTCCATGGCAAATTGCAACAAGCCCAAGCTCCAACAATCATACAAGCAAAACACCACGTGATGGAGTCGTCTTACATGCAGCATGATGTTGCCGCTGTCTTACCAGAAGATCCAAACCACAAAAGTGAGGGAGCGAGCTTTTGTTGCAACACAACTGTAGGTACATGTCTCTTCGTTTTTTGTTGCCCGCTTCCTCCACAATGCTCTGGTACATAAAGGGGGCAATCCCAAAATGATCTCTCGCAACGTACACCTAGAGTCACATGATCTGTCACTCCTTTAGGGACCTCTCAGGGAGGCCCAAAGGCAGGGATAATCCAGTTACAGTTCCTATCATGAATTACGATTCACAATGAACTGCATGTAGTAGTGGTATGCTAATGGGGTGACTGCAGGATAGCGTCTGCATGTAGATGTGTGAACTGGGAAATGCAAAATAGCTGAGTTGGAGCGACAACACTGCAAAGGACTGCTCAAATCTCAACATGGGCACCTTACAAGCCCTCTCTGCTGGCAAACCTTTTAACAGCCAAAGATGCTAGCTGCTAGCTGGTAGCTGCCTCTGGGCGCACTGTATGCGCCACTAGCTGAAGAGGCTGCCACAAGTTCTTATGAAGCAAACGAGCGCTAAAGTCCCCCAATGTGGATCTTCGATACTCTTCAATGTTCGTGCACATGCAGCCTCTGCAAGGAGATCAACGAGTGAAAACTCGGCAAACGGGCATGTAACACTCCATGTTCCAGAACACGGACGGGCATATAGCATTGACAGAACATGGAAGCAACAAATATTCGTGCATATATAGTAGTGTGCTCCTTGGACTCCTGTACAGATGATTGATGCTCAAACACATGCATCAGCCTCCTGATAGAGTCTGACTTCTTTTTACAGTGGTTTAGGTTGGACTTCTGATCTGCTTAATTCCTGCAATAACCTCTCTACGGGTTACCCTAGGGGCTACCCATCAACTTTGCGAGTGTTTCATCATCTGGCCATAATGGGCGGGGTCCGGGTTGCTCAAATCTGCGAAGGTAAATTCCCGCGCACCCATCTTTTGGTAGCTTTCAATCACGTTGAGTTGTTGAGATCCTTTTAGGAGATTGCCCCCCGATAGTGAAACCTTCCTGCAAGACTGGAAAGCAAGCACCACATGTAGGATGCATGCTTCACGTGCAAGATGCACCAAAGCCAATGTCAAACAGGATCTACCACATCATAGCCATCGTCAAGACCAAGGCCGATCAAGTTGTCACCTCGATTCATTCGATCGAATCCTACCCCGCACGTCGTGTGACACAGACAGTGCGGGGCCACCGCCCGAGCTGAGAGAGGGACAAACAAAATGACCCAAAGCGGACTCAATGACTTGAGACAGCACGTCCTCAACACGGATAAAACCCAAGGCTAGTCGTCTAAGAATGCGGAGACCCAGACTCCTTTGACTCTGCTGAAACACATATCATATTCCCCTATGACTTATGAAAGAGTCAGAAACCAGTGCTCTCGTGTTGTTTCCGTCTCTTGTGTTAGATAAAGCATGATAAAGCTTCACTGATGGGAAAGAAACATAACCCATTTCATCTGACACAGGTTCTTCAAGCTTCACCAAGTGGCACGCTTGGACTTACATACACAAATGCACTTTGGGGGGGGGGGGCGTGACTGTCAGTTATATTGAATTCATGTTCTTTGGTGTCATGAATGCACCGTTGGCCCGTCAAACGTCC